TTACAGATTGAAGGGTCACAGGTTTGATTCTGGTCAAGGGCACATACCTTGGGGGTAGGCTTGATCCCTGGCCCTAGTCAGGGCACATGCAGGAGGCAACCAATCAATGTGTCTCTCTCACATGGATGTTTCTCTCTCTGTATCTCTTCCCCTCCTTTCCACTCTCTAAAAATCGATGGAAAAATATCCTTGAGTCAGGATTAACCCCCCCCCCCCAATATATTAGAGTCTAAGTTTAATAAAATACATATCTGTTTTGTTCCCTGCTGTATTTTCAGTGTCCCCTTGGGAGTTTGACCGGGAGACCAGGAGTTTGATCGCTCACTATGATGTGCGCTGACCACCAGGGGGTGGCGTGGAATGAAGGAAGGTCCTGGCCAGCAGCCGGAAGGCCCCGATCGGCCCTGATTGCCGGCTAGGCCTAGGGACCCTGCCTGTGCACGAATTTCATGCACTGGGCCTCTATTCTCTGATAATAAGCTTTGGTTCGTGTTGAAGATATTTTAATTCTAGTTATTCCCCTTTAATCTCAACAGAGAGGATATATTCAGAGGAGCTTCAACCCTCAGAAGGGCTGAAAGCATGCCTTTCACTATGGAAGAAAGAAAAAGAAGGGAAAGCCAATTCTCTGTTTCCTTTGAATTTCAGAGTTAAGGGTGGAAGAAATGTGAGTTCACTAGGCATGAACTGGCTTTCCCCCCTATTAGAAAAAACTTTTTTTTAACCAGTTGAATCATTTTTAAGTGGCATTAAGTATATTAACATTGTCATGCAACCTTCACCACCATCCATCATCATTCCCAAACTGAAACTGTACCCATTAAATGATAACTCCCACCCCCGCCCCCCAGGCCCTGGCAACCACTATTCTACTTTCTTTCTATATAAAGTGACTATTCTAGGTACCTCATATAAGTGGAATCATATAATATTTGTCCCTTTGTGTCCGGATTTTTTTTTTTTTTTTTTTAGTATGACTCTTTGTTTGGAGACTAGACAATTCTTCTTTTTCTTTTTTTTTAAAATATATTTTTATTGACTTCAGAGAGGAAGGGAGAGGGAGAAAGAGGTAGAAACATCAGTGAGGAGAGAGAATCATTGATCGGCTGCTTTCTACACGCCCCCTACTGGGGATTGAGCCCACAAACTGAACTGGGCATGTGCCCTTGACCGGAATCGAACCTGGAACCCTTTAGTCTGCAGGCCGACGGTCTATCCACTGAGCCAAACCAGCCAGGGCTTGACAATTTTTCTTACCCCTGCATTTCTAGTTTTTGCTTTGTACCGAGACCTAGCCAGTGATGCATACACAATAAGTATCCAAAGACACGTGAGTTCAACAGCTTGTTGGGTACCGCTAGGGGGTTATTAAAGCTTTGAAAATGTGATTCCTAATCTGCATGTCGGTAGGCTTAGCTCCTCCAAGCCTTGCTGATAAACCTGCACCAACAGTAATATCAAAGATTAGGCTTTCTCCATGTTTGATAAAGCAAATTGTTCTCATTGTTACAGACTGATTATGAACTGGAAAATCACCGATACATTGTTGTAATGGTTTATACAGACATTAAGACAAACTCTGTATGAAGGACAGCAGCTACAAAAAGAGGTGTTGATTGCAGCTTAAGACATTATATGCTCATACTCATTCCCCCCCCCTCCATTTTTCTGTTTTCATTGTATTTTCCCTTCTCCCTCCCTCTCTCCTTCTTTCCCTCTCTTTTTCCCTCCCTCCCTCTCTCCTTTCCCTTTCCTTCCCTTCCACTCTGTCCCTTCCTCTCTGCCTTCCTTCCTTTTTTCCTTCCGCCTTTCCATCCTTCCTTCCTTTTCTCTTTCTCTATCATTTTCATTTTTCTGAGTAGTTGCTACAGAGACAGCCTCACCCTATTATCCAAATATAAATGACGTAGTAATGGCTTTCTATCGGTCTGCCTGGAGGGAGAGGGGAAAAGAAAGTAATAAAACTAAAGAGGAAATATCCTTAGTTTGTTTCTGAAGGATAGAAATTAACTTGCTGAGGAAAAAAGAAATATAATGGGAGCTCTGATTGGTAAAGAGACACAGAGAAAGAGAGAGGGAGCGTGGAGGGCAATTTGAAGAGTGTCCCGTGCAGGTCAGATTTCAAGCAGGATCCCCGTCCGTGAGAGCCTCTGACACTGCTTTCCTTAACCCCGTGTTCTCAGCCTGGAGAGTGGAGGGTCCGCAGCTAGACTCGGCCTTAAGAGTTTGGGCCAAAGCCACGCGCATAGGAGAGGTACTTTTTTACATTCAACGTTTATGATGTCTACAGCCGCAGGTGTTAGCACGCCCAAGACAGAATTGACAACGAAAAGCATCACCCCGTGCCAGATCTGACTCCGCGTGCAGAGGCGGTGGAAATGGCTGCGGTGGCATTCCCTAACATCAGTACCCTGGGATTTCTGTGACTTTTCAAGGTGCTAGGAGTCTCCCCTGGTCCTTCCTGTTTGAATATGAATGGACTTCGGTGGCCCTCATTGTCCCGCCCCCAGGCCTCCTGCATTTAGATGGCCAGCATTTGGGAAGTTTGCTGGTCACAGAGAGATGCTGGCTTTTTCCATTCCCTGTCACAGGGCCAGTTCAGTCTGCTTTCCTTGGGACTTGGTTTGGTTTTCTTCACAGCAGCAGCTGCTAATGAGGGACAGCTTTTGAGCGAGCAGCTTGTCGTTTTTGGCAGGGGGAGGGGACATCCATAACCATTCAAGACTCTGTTTTCCTTTGCTAAATTTACTTTACTACATGGAAGTACGTCTGCAGCAAAAAATAGTCTGCAGTCACTCAGGCACGGCGGTATTTACTGAAATACCTTCCCCGAGTTGGCATTCGATCCTGCAGTTGGAGAACTCTCAGGAGATAAGTAACAGGTTCCGCGTCTATCAGGCGAGCCACCCCCCCAGCGGGAATCTGCATTCTGGATGCAGAACGTTACCCTCCTGTTTTGGCGCAGCAATCAGTCTTTCCGGATTGCGCTTGGTAGAACGCCTGGTAACCGTCGGAGTGGGTTGTTGATAAACACTGCGCCTTACGTTGATGCTCAGCTGCTTTTTTGAGGCAGAATTAAAAGACGCAGTTTCGTTTGCATAAAGAAGAAGCTGTCTTTGGAATTTCTGCTCGCATTGGCATCATCCCATTTCATGTAGTTCTCCTCTTTGAAACTGCCACAACAAGGCGTTAGCGCTGCTCTGCGAACTTGTCACGATATTTATGGAATGGTACGGCTTGCAATTATACTTGCCGTGATTAGCACCGACGATGAGTCAAAACCTCCGTCACATTTTCTATAAAGTGTGATTCAGTCCCATTATTCCTGTAATAAGGACTCGAGTTAATGACCCCCACAGTGGTAAAAATAACATCTTAAAGGAAATAACTGACCTACCAGCCATTTCAGCTATTTCCCCCAATTTAGGTTCTTTGTAACTCGGAGGTCTACCAACGTCGTATTTAACACGCAATTATTGAACATCTACCATGCACTAAGCATTGTGTTTGAAGGAATCAAAATGGTTCCTGCCCTGGGATAAGTTACAATGTAGTTAAGCAACAGGTAACTCAGAATTGCTTTAGTTCTCATGCCGAGTGTAGCACATTCTCACTCTAGAGAGATAAAGCAATCCATCTTTATTTATTTAAAAAAAATATTTTTTATTGATTTCAGAGAGGAAGGGAGAGGGAGAGATAGAAACATCAACGAAGAGAGAGAACCATTGATCGGCTGCCTCCTGCACACCCCACACTGGGGATCCAGCCCACAACCCTGGCATGAGCCCTGACCAGGAATCAAACCATGACCTCCAGGTTCATAGGTCCACACTCAACCACTGAGCCACGCCAGCCAGGCAAGCATTCCATCTTTTAAAACTGGGATGATCGCCGAAACCGGTTTGGCTCAGTGGATGGAGCGTCGGCCTGCGGACTGAAGGGTCCCAGGTTCGATTCCGGTCAAGGGCATGTACCTGGGTTGTCGGCATATCCCCGGCGGGAGATGTGCAGGAGGCAGCTGATCGATGTTCCTCTCTCATCGATGTTTCTAGCTCTCTATATCTCTCCCTTCCTCTCTGTAAAAAATCAATAAAATATATAAAAAAAAAACAAACAAAAAAATCCTGGGATGATCAACCTTGGCTGGTGTGGCTCAGTTGGTTGGGTGCTGTCCCCTGCACCGAAAGGTTGCTGGTTTGAATCCCAGCCAGGGCACATGCCCAGGTTGCAGGCTCCATCCCAGTAGGGGACGTGCAGGAGGCAGCCAATCGATGTTTCACTCTCACATCGATGTTTCTCTCTCTAAAAATCAATTAAATGTAATAAAAAATTAAAACTGGGGTGATCAAAATGATAAAAGTCATAGGATATGAGTATTGGTTGATTCCTTTTTTAGCTAAAGGTGTTAAAGATTGTATGAGGCACCTTTCATCTAATATATAAAGAGCCAGTGACCGTAACATCATAACAACCGGAACAACCTATCGAACAGTCCCTATGAGGTGCATTGACCACCTCTCGGTCCCTCCCCCCCAGCCTGCAGGCTAAGATTGATCACCAGGCCTATGGGGAACCACGGAAACGAGGGTGGGTGGCAGCGGGGCGGGACTGGGGACTGTCGGGCGGGTACCTCTTGGTCCCTCCCCCCTGCCTGCATGTTAAGATAGATCGCCAAGCCAGCGGGAAGGTGGGTGGGTGGAGGTGGCAGGGCGGGAGTAGGGACTGGCGACTGGCAAGCGGGCAGAAGATGGCCCTGATTGCAGGCTAGGCCTAGGGACCCTACCTGCACACGATTTTGTGCGCTGGGCCTCTAGTAGAAGTATACACTTCCTAGGCTCCTTGTTCCAAATGTCCCCTGTTAAATTCAGAAGAGTAAATACTTCTTAGTGGCATGGCTTGGTGAACCCAGATGATCTAACATTCATCCCGTTATACAGTGTACACTGTAAACAGTCAGGTGGCTACTTATATGTTTGTCATGTTGATATTCGTTATCACAGGAATTTATCGTTTACACCTGGCCTGTACCTTCATCTGCATACCAGCCTTAAGTAAGTTGACGTTTAATTATCGGCATAAGGTGAACAGTTGCCCAGATGACAGCTGACTTCAGTATCCTTTACTATCCTAACTTACCCGCTAGGATATTTCACAAGCTGTTTTCTCGTTTTTATAAGTGATTATTGTGGCCATAATGAGAAAACCGGAGATTAAGATGGTCCCTCCTAAATCTTGGGGGTGGATTATAACCTATCTAACAGAAAACTAGTAAGGGACTTGGGAACAAATGTAACAAGTATAACCAGCCACTCTTCGTCTTATAGGAAGTGTCACAATGTTCATTCTGACCACAAGTGGTCAGGGTCTAGGTTTTGGCCTCATTGGAAAGTTACCCACCCCCAGAACTGTTCCCATTGTTCTCCTCTCACTCCCTTTGACAATCCAACACTTTTAGCTGATTTCTGATTGGTTTAGGGGAGTGAAGCTGAGCCACCAAACCCCAAACATGGCTTCTTCTGGTTGCCTGAAGGTTTGTCATCTAGATGTTCGCACCATCCCATACAAAGCATTTTTGGAATGTCAAATAATTTTTTTTTTTTTTGGTATCTATCTGTGAGTTGTGCTTTGTGTTAATTCACTTTGTAGCTTTTATCTTAAAGCAGTCTTAAACCACAGGTATCCTTGTGAGGAAAATCTCACGTGGATGGGTAAGAGGTTTTAATAAGTACGGGGTTTGAGAGGAGGCGCCCTGCAGGTAGACAGCCTAGGCACTGATCCCAGCTTCTGTGCTTTGTTGCTGCAGGACTTGGGGCAAATTTCCTCCCCCTTAAGCCTGTTTCCTCATCTGTAGAATGAGAGCAATCATCGTGCTGCCGTTATCGGTTTTTTCATGAGGGTGCATGTAAAGGGCATATATAGCAGGGCGTGAGTTCATGACACGGTAGGAGCTCCTTGAATGTTATTGCTACTGTTACTAAGTATTACAATCACTACTCATACGCTCTTTTTTCTCCTTTCTGTGCGAGCTCCTTTGCTGTTGTTTAAGGTTTGGTGATTAAGTACAGGAAAGGCTTGGAAATGTAATAGTGTATTTTGTTTCCAACATGGAACCTGTTTCTAGTGTTGGTAGCAATCATTCATTTAACACGTTTAACAAACCAACAAGTTTTTCCTTGAACCCCAGACTGTGTTCCTTTTGAAAGTCTCAGAGGGGGTTACATACCCTCCATCATCAAAGCCTAGAATCTTCAGAACATAAGCGTGTCTCACAAAAGGCTTGGTGTCTCCGTTGCCGCCACAACCTGAAACTAGCGGCTTAGAAACCACAGAGAGCCCACCACATGCTGGAGGGGCCTGGAAGGGCCCCTCACAGTTTCTTGTAAGCTGTATGTAGACAGCTCAGCCCGGAACCAGTCTGGCTGAGAAAACTTAAAAAGTCTTCTTTTTTTCCTTCCTCTTTATCTTTCTGTTCAAAAGGATCTAAATTGTTGCCTCTAGGAAGATTGAATGCAGAGATGAGCTCTTAAAGAAGTCTACGCAAGAAGGTACTGTTTCTTTGAGGGTGAGCGGGTGTTCGATATTATTTTTTTTAAATATATGTTTTTAATTGACTTCAGAGAGGAAGGGAGAGGGAGAGAGAGAGAAACATCAGTGATGAGAGAGAATCATTCGTCGCCTGCCTCCTGCGCACTCCCTACTGGGGACCGAGCCCACAACCGGGGCATGTGCCCTGACCGGGAATCAAATCATGACCTCCTCCTTGTTCATAGGTGATGCTCAACCGCTGAGCGGGTTCAACATGGCCAGGTTCTCTATTACTTCATAACTATTTGGGGTTACTACCTAAAGAGGATTTAAAATCATATTTTCTGTCCTCTTCCTCTCTTTGTTCATAGTTGTATAGTCTTTTCTCCACGCCTAACCTAGGAAACTATATAGTCCTTGTATATGTGCTTGTCAGCATTGAACCCGGCCAGTGCCTTATTGTGTTGGACAACGATTGGACTTTAGTTTGAGAAGAGGAAAGCTAAAGGTTTATTTTCAGCCGAGACCGGTTTGGCTCAGTGGATAGAGCGTCGGCCTTCGGACTGAGGGGTCCCAGGTTCGATTCCAGTCAAGGGCGTGTACCTGGGTTGCGGGCACATCCCCAGTAGGAGATGTGCAGGGGGCAGCTGGTCGATGTTTCTCTCTCATCGATGTTTCTAACTCTCTATCTCTCTCCCTTCCTCTCTGTAAAAAATCAATAAAATATATTTTTTAAAAAAAATTTATTTTCATATCAATCCACTAGGGACCTCACATGTTGTCACATTTATTACGGCCCCAAAATTCACTTTATTCTTAGGCAGCGACTTGTGGAACATTCGTGTAAATCTAGTCCCGTCCTCCTCGCGTGTAAGTCCCCGTTCAGCCTGGTGGTTTCTGCCAGCCCCACTGCTGTTTAAAAGGCCTGGCCCCATGTGACCGTATTGTCTTCAGCGTAGTCACGTGAGACACTTTACGGTTCTGGGTCTCACATTTGGTTTGTTTTTCTTTGGAGCTTTACTGGAAACCAAACACGATTGCGTACAAGCTGCAGAAGCAGGAGGGGAAGTTGGCCAAGAATCAACTGCTTTCTGTTTGGTCTGTCTGAGGCAGCTGACCTTTTGGAAGGAAATCGCTGCTCTTTGCTTCTTCCTGTAACAGCGCAGCCTGTCAAAGAGCATGGACGCAGAAGCCGTTATCCTGGCTGATGTCTCGGGCGACAGCGCCGTTCGGGTAGCGATGGGCGTTTTTCCGCGCACCTGCTGTATGTTGTAGGGACGGTCACTCGCGGTCGTGGTGCTAAGCTAGCTGTGTGTCGCTATCCCAGGAGACACGGAGCCCGAGAGAATCTGTTTCTAGAAAAAGTAGTTTGTTTTAGCAAAAGCAACTGTATTTTCTCGCAAAGCGCCCGTGTCAATGCTGTGGTAAAAGTTACCTTGTGCACAGGTTTAATTCTTCTTAATGGTGAAGGTCCTGATGTCATTATTATTTCTTACACCGGGTAGCCTTTTGTCACCAAGAGGCGGAACACGTTGACTTTCTAAGACACGGTGAGCCCTTATCGAAATGTCATTTCATCTCAGAATTAGAATTAGCCGCTTGCCACCTGCTGCCCATCGTTGGCCCCGCGTTTCTGCAGGACGCGTTGGATTTAAACACAGTGAGCATCGTCCTCCGCACAGTGGCATTATCCTCAGAAAGCTGCCGTCAGTCGGACTTCGCAAATGGCACATCATCCAGTGAGCAAACAAAGGAACTAGCTGATGAGGCATTTCTCTCCTAACAGACACGATTGTAGTTTTCCATTTATTTTAACCAAAACATGGTTAGGTTCACTTTCTATTTTGTTGTGTGTGTGCGCGCGCGATTTTTTGTTTTGTTTTAAAGGATTTACATTCAAATAACCGTCTGTTAGCAAGAATGAAGTAGATTCGGATTATGGTAAATACAGAGAATGAAGCTACCTGAAAGGGGGTGGGGGAGAGACAGGAAATGCTACCTTCTTCTGCGTCAGTTTGGGTTCGGTGGGTCGTGTCCTGTTTCAGTGTCCTTCGGTCTCTCTCCCAGGTGTGCTGTTGGCTGTTGGGTGAGCGCTGGTGTGGATGCACATAAAGGTGTAAAGCATGACCTAGGGGGAATGATCTCGGGGCTGCCTTTCTGTTCTTGGGAACTGGCCTGAGCTGTTCAGTCTTCCTGAGACACTGAGGGACCCGGGAGGGAATGCAGACCTTGCTGTGGCTGTAAGTGCAGGTTCTGGGCACAAAGTTGATGTCAACAAAACAGGATCGAGCCCCCCAGTTCCGTTGGCCTTTTTGAGTAGGAGCCAGTTTAGGAACCACTGGCTAAGGCCTTCTGGGATCTGGTCTTGTAACTCTAGCCCTTGGAGGCCTTGAATTATTACCCTTAAACTGTCAAGGACCTGCTCGTATGCCAGTTGTGTTCAGGTGTGTCATTAGGGGGAAGGGGAATGCCGTTTTGAAAAAGGAGTTTTTAGAGAGAGTGGAAGGGAGGGGAAGAGACAGAGAGAGAAACATGGATGTGAGAGAGACACATCTATTGGTTGGCTCCCCCACGCGCCCCGACGGGGGCGGGGATCAAGCCTGCAACTGAGGTAGGTGCCCTGGGTCGGAACCAAACCCGAGACCCTGCAGGCTGCCGGCCGACGCTCTAAACACTGAGCACACCCCGCCGGGGCACAGCAGATGTTTTTAGTTGCCTGGGAAGTGGTAGTGATGTCGTTTCTTCCCAAATGGGTTTTCAAGTTGCTAAATGGATTTCAACACAGAGAGAATGAGAACGCCTCAAGCTGCGGGCCCCTGTGGCAGGACGGCCCGGCCTGCAGGACAGCATCCTCCCGCCTGCCGCGCAGAGTCTGAGACGCCTGATGTGTATGTACCGCCAGGGCTCATTTCCAGGCGAGAGCACGCCTCTACTCTAATGGCTTTTTTTCCCCCCCTTAGATTTTGAAAAAATTTAAAATTATTGAAAAATTGAAAGAATAGGACAACGAACACTCATATACACTTTGCCTAGATTGACCAGTTGTTAACAGTTGTTACATTTAGGTAACACCTCTCTCTCCCTCTCCCCTTTGAAAGTAAGTTGCAGACATCATGACTTTACCCTTAAATACTTGAGTATGTATCTACCAAGAACAAGGTCATTCTATATAAACTCAATGCCATTATCACTCTCAGGAGCTGTAACGTTGATACAATAATATCCAATTATAGGCCATGTTAAAATGTAATTAAGCCCAACTGGTGTGGCTCAGTGGTTGCGTGGTGATCTACGAACCAGGAGGTCACAGTTCAATTCCCGGTCAGGGCGCATGCCCAGGTTGTAGCTCAATCCCCAGTGGAGGCATGCAGGAGGCAGCTGATCAATAATTCTCTCTCATCATTGATATTTCTATTTCTCTCTCCTCCTTTCCTCTCTGAAATCAATAAGGATGTATTTTTTAAAAATGTAATTAAAATTTTTAATTGTCCCAGTAATGTCCTTTAGAGCCGTGGTGTGGGTTTTTTGTTTTTTTTTTAACTATGTCCTAGGTAGTTATCATGTTTTTTTTTAGTCTCCTTTAATCTAGAACAGTTCCACATTTTTCTGTCTTTCATAAGAGTCTCACAATTTGTATTTGTCTGATTGTTTATTCATGAGTAGAGGCGAAACATTTAGTGTGTGTGTTCTTTTCAGTGCGTCACATCTGGAGGCATAAAATGACCGTTTGTCCCATGATCGGGGATGTTTGATTACTTGGTTAAGGTGTTGTCCACCAGCTTTTTCCACTGAATACATACCCCTTCCCTTCTGTGAATAATAAGTAATATGTGAGGCAATACTTTGACGCTGTGTGGACTGTCCTGTTCGCCAACAAGTATCACCTAATCGTTTGAGCAGCTATGATGATCCTTGTCTGAGTCCACTCTCTTTATTTATGGGATCGTGTGTGCTGGGCCAAGTTATATTTAGGTGACAGTTTTAAATATATGATAACCCACTGATTAAGACTTGGTCTTTATATTTAGCAAATAGCTGCCCTCCCTCCTCCTTCAGGCCTCCCTTCCCCATTCTACCTCCTCGCCCTTTTCTCTTCTTCCCAAAATAGTATGTAATCATTTGGCTGTGACGTAAAGATTTATGACTGATTGTCTTCCCAGAATATTATCATCTCTATTGTTGCCTGGGCAAATTTTTCCTTGTTTATGTTTTTGCAAGCCAAATACTTTTATTCTTTCTGTTCTCGTCCCATCTGTTTAATAATCTGATTTTGTCAGAGAACTGCCTTCCTGATTGCTTATAAAGTAGTGTTTAGAAAAAAAAAAATTTAAAGAGCAGATGGCTCTGGTATTGACCTACTTCTACATGGGAAAGTTTTACTATAACCTTCTTACTTGATGTTAGGCCAGTTTTAATATGAACAATGCCTTAATCCTTTATTACTACTATTCAATACTTTTCTGTCTCTCCAGGTTCCTACTACTGGGTAACCATCACCACTGAATGCATGTAATCATTGATATTGACACAACCAGGGAACTTGCTGTTTATAGTGTTTCCAAAGTCCTTTAGTCTTTAAATGGCGCTGATCTGATTAACAGGTTTTTTTTGCTTTTTGTTTTTTAAATATATTTTATTGATTTTTTACAGAGAAGAAGGGAGAGAGATAGAAAATTAGAAACATCGATGAGAGAGAGAAACATCGATCAGCTGCCTCTTGCACACCTCTTACTGGGGATGTGCCCACAACCAAGGTACATGCCCTTGACCGGAATCGAACCTGGGACCCTTCAGTCCGCAGGCTGATGCCTTATCCACTGAGCCAAACCGGTCAGGGCTGATTAACAGTTTTTAATCCTGGTTCCTTGCCTTATACTTTTCAGATTAGAAGCAATGTTTATACACCTTCTGTTTCATCTGCCAATGAGCCCAAGCCTTTGCCCAAATCAGAGCTTCACAACGTTAGGTCTCTTATTCTAATCTCTTACTCATTTTCTTTCTTTAAATTATGAAATATGGC